CCTGGCTGTCTCCTGTCTCGCCATTCATCAAAATAGCTTCTTTATTAACCAACTGTAGCAACATATATTCACAGCATACAGAAAGATCATCCACGGCAGTTACTTCTTTTAGTCATGAGAAAATAGTTATAAAATGAGCATAGAGTTGGTTGATAGAATCAAATTTTTATAAACTATGAAACTGGAAGTATAGGCACACATGGAAACAGCTCATTAGAAGTGTTCCTTTGTTTCCAAGGATAGAGACCCAAGTCCCATTCCTTCAAAATGAGCACACATCATGGGACAGAATATTCACAATACCGGAAAATAACTGAATACAGATTCATTTCTTTATATTAGTGCCATAAGTTAACAACTAAAACCCAAGAGGAAGAACAAAACCCTTCAGAAAGAAAGAAAAGTAAAAATTGTAGCAAAATAAAAGAGGAAAAACAAAACATAATAGTGGTCTTGTCTAGAGGAAGGAATTCTGGACATATTTAAATATTCTTTTCACTAAATATAAACATTTCTAATTGTCTACTCTTGTTATCAGAAAAAAAATGATCATGTAATCATTTTATTTAATAATTGTCTGTGGAGATTGCCCCTAGGCATTTGTTCTGAATCTGAGCTGCTTCTGTACTGAAGGGGCTAAGACTTGAGAACGGTTCCACTCTTTGATCGTTATCATTGTGAGAATTGCCCTCACCACAGTAACTATACTCAGTGATGCACAAGTTGGTTTCATAAGCATCTGAGGGACAGAAGGAGTACTGGGTACTGAAATTCACTACCTCAGGGCAAAACACCCAAAGATACAAATGTTCAAATTAAGCACGTGTTTCCCTTTCCAAAGATTACTTCAAATGTACAATTTTGGCAGTTTGGCAGGCTCCATATCAAGTCAATGTGTCCTGCCGGGCTTGATTGATGCTAGCTGAGAGATCGTGTAGACATTTATAAGTGTTGCTTATAACACCAGGTCCTTGGATTGATAGGTTCTGATTTTTATAAAGATGCTAAAACTTTTATATTAAGGAAAATACCAGGCTCAACATGGCAAAGGAGAAAATGAATTTCAGATTTGCGGAAAGCATAGCTGTGCCTCCCTATCTGCTCTAGCACCCAGTCATGCTTATTTGACACAATTTACACCTAAATTAGTTATATTTCACAAATTTTTTGCAATAGTTATACAAAAAAATTGCATTTGCTCCATAGGCATTTAATATACCACTGGATAGTTATTGATTTTTTTTCAAAGCCTTTCTTGACACTTTTAAGAGGAATTGTCACTCTCAGCATCTCATTCCTTAAACTGGAAAATGCGTTTTTATCACATGCAATGGGTTTAGACCACAAGCAAACCCTTTCGGCTGATTGTCCATTCTCAAGGTTGTTCAGGGTTAGTTAAAAATGGGCAACACAAGAAAAGCTTTGTGTCCAAGAATGGAAGAGAAAGAAACAATGAATTTCCCAGCTTTTTCATGCTTCTCAAAAGTGATTTTTGGCTGTTCTTAGAAGGCTGTGTGACCTATTGTTCCTAGAAGCCTGCAATCTTCACAGAATGCTTGGTTTTCTTTTTAAAAAATAAGATAAAAAAACCTTAGGGTTTGTTATGTTTCTCTTCCTGTATCACTTTTCTTAAAGTATGAAACGTGTGTGTGTGTGTGTGTGTGCGCGCGCGCGCGCGCGCGCGCGCAGGCATGCACACATGTGTGCATAAATGAGCATGTGAGCAGGCACAGAGGATCTGAAGAAGATACTCCACTGACATGTTTTGGAAGGATAGAAAATTAAGCTATGCATTTTGAGATTCCAACCAACTGTTCTGAGGTTTCTGGTCATTGCAAACCTGATGCTTTAAGTCATTAAACTATCCCTTTTGGCTCCATGAAATACATTTCCATACAGTTCATTGTGATGTATCAGGAGAGACAAGAATTAGAATTCATTTGTCATTTATTTATTTCTCTCCAAATTCCCTAAAAGGGTCACCTAACACCCACATTTCTTTTACGTCTAGAATATTTTCACTTAATCTACCAGAAATGTCAGTGTCAAAGTAATTTGACTAAACTTATGATTTTATTATCATAGTTATATTTATTTGAATAAAATCAGAGTTCCATCTGATTCTGACTGAGTAAGTAGAGAAAAACAGAGGCAATGACACTGCTTAACATAAATTAAGACTGTGTTTATCCTTACGCTAAAAAGAACAGAAAATGTTGTTGTCTGTTACACTAATTTACTCCCAAAGCTTATTTCATGCCATTGAGAAACCTGTAAATAAAAACATTTTCTTACATGAAGATTTAATTTCTTTCACTGAGTTTTATGACAACATAGTTTCACCTGTCTCCTAGATAGATAGACAATAGATAGATGATAGATAAACAGATAGATAGAAGATAGATAGATAGATAGATAGATAGATAGATAGACAGATGGAAGCTAAATTTAAAAAAAGAAATCTAGGCAAGTCTTGAATAACTTCTAAAACAAAGCAGACATTATTTTTCTAACAAAGAGTCAAGTATGTTGGATGAACTTCACAGGACCCATGTTACATGGATCCCAGCAGAGTTTGTATATATTACTGTTATATCTTCTTGATATAACCAGAACTTTGCATATGCCTGACATAGAACCGATTTTCTATAATTATTTGTTGAAATTGGGTAGAATAAACAAATGAGTAGAAAATTAAAACAGCAAGCTATGAGCAATTTCAAAGATTTCACTAACTCCTGAAGCCATTTTGTAACGTATCCCAGCTTTCCTTATTATATCAGTGAGATGAGAGGGATGGAGAGATTAAAGTATCCCACACACCCTATGACCAAAGATTCTAAGATTTTAGTGTGTGAAGGGACTCCCACACTTCCTGAATGCTAATGCCCAGACCTGTCACATGGAGATTTCATTTCAGTAATCTGGTGATGGGATGTAACCATCTACATTTTAAAAATAATTATTAGGAATGATTTGCATTTTGATAGTCTTGGAATCACATTTCTGAAAGCAACTCAGTGGATCCTTAATACAGGTTGGATGAACACAACCTGGCAAATATTAGCCCTGGTTAGACCTCACTTTTTCAGCCATTTTGCATGTTTCCAATGCTCCCAGCACATTGATCAAATAACTTAATGTTTATTGGTGTTACTCACAAATTTTTGTCCTGGAAAATAAACCATACAAGTCACTAATGGCCATCAGTTCTATACTCCCTACCCTTGAAACTTGAAATTGCTTTGACCGCCACAGCTCTGCTAAATATCTGCTTATTAAGCCCTAGAAGGAAGAGCTGAGTCATTGGGAGAGGACATTGTGCCATCTCTGAGATGTTAAGCTATGTTTCCTCCTCAGCTCTTCCCTGAAAAGCAAAAATAATACAAAACAGACAGTAAAATTAACTCATTACCCACCTCCACCCCAAAATGATTATTTTAACATAAATAAAAGAATTTAAGAAATGAAATTATGTTATGTACCCTTAGTTTAACTCTTCAGGCAACACAAAATAACAATGATTGCTGCCTGGGACTCAGAGTTCCTTTCACTATCCCCAAAAGTCTGTAATTCTTATCTTAAACAAAACTTTTCAAGTACAAATCACTAATGGGTAATTTTTTTTCCTTCAAATCAACTGTATGCTGAAAAGAAATGGAGTACGGATTTTTCATCAGGGTGATTTCATCAGCCAATTTATATCAGAGTTCCCCAGGTATGTATTGCATGGCCATTTCCAAGGGTAAAGGAGGCATATGTCACTTCCCAATGTGCAGGCAATTGCACATGAAATCCATCTGCGGGGTGTTGCTGAAAAGTCACACCTCTGATCCACAGATCGGCTTAATTTAACCATTTTTCACCATGTTAATACATTTCTCTGTTTTAAATTCCTGCTTAGTGGAAAGTTTCCCCATTGAGTATCTGATTTAATTTTGTCTGCTTGGATGCCCTTTAGGTAAAGGACACCATTCAATATCAGAATTAGAAGCATTCTATTCATTTCTCCCCCTGCAGCCAGGGAAAGAGAAAGGAGAGAGCAAAGAGGCAGAGACTCACACAACACAAGATACAGCAATTCTCTCACCGCTGAGCAATGAGGTTTCATACGCTGCTGGAGGACCCATTCATCTTAATCCATCTGGAACGAGGGCTACATGCAATATTTCACAATCTAAGTACTTTCTGACAAATCTATTAATTATGCACTCAAACAAATTATTTGCTGCCTGTGGAGAATTGCTACTGGATTTTCTCTTGTGCCAGAATCTGTGTTCTTTTTACACTTTCAACTCACTGCCATCTCTGCCACAGTCATATTTGACCCCCGTCTTTAATTATCCTCTCAATTTTACACATGGCAACTATTACAGAGAAGGTAGAAACAGGGCTAAAACGGTACGGCACGTCATAGCCAAAAGTCATTTTCTAATCACTTTCTTCTCCTGTGGTTCTGTCTCTCTCCTTCACCAAAGCATATAGACGTTGTCTTTCTACCAAGGAAGAGATAAAACATTAGCAGAACCACTTTCTATGTTCCCACCAGCTGTTCACTTCTTTTCCTTGGTTCTGAAGACAAGGCTTCCTCAGTTTTCACATCCAAACTGGTAAAACACACAGGAAATGTGGAAGACTAAATTCAAGTTGCACACATTCAAGAATATCATTGGAAAGGTTTAAATTTATTTTCTTTTAAAATGTTTTCTCATCTTGGAAGTACTGTGTGCAGTTATATAAAAAAAATAACAAAAAACAATTTTAAATGAGATAATAAAAATTCCCAATGAATAACATCAGTAGTTCAGGGCATGGATCCTTGAAGTATTTTTATATATCATAAAAATGTGAGTCCTATACATTACAATGTACGCATATTTAATTTTACATACATATTTTCCAGTTACTAAGATTTTAATTTTGTTGTGTGATGGTTAATATTGATTATCAACTTTATAGGACCCAGAATTATCTAAAAGACAAGACACTGGGAACTTCTGTAAGGGATTTGCTCGATTAGATTAACTGAGGTGGTGGGACCTTCCCTGTATGTGCCCAACACTATTCCCTGGACTGAGACCACAGAAAAAGGATAGAGTGGGCCGAGCTCCAGCATCCCACTCTATGTCCTTCCTTGATGTGGAGTCAACATAACTGCCAGCTTCAAGCTCCTGCCACCACTGTGACATCTCCTCCACAACAGACAGTTCCCTGGAACACTCCACAGTGACATCTCCTCCACGACAGACAGTACCCTGGAACACTGAGACAAACATTTTCTGATGTTGCTGTTGACAGGGAATTTTGTCAGAGCTAAAAGAAAAGTAACTAATACATTAAGAAAATAAAAATTATTCTCACCGAGAAAATCCCTACACAAAAAGTAGAAGGGAAAGAAAATTTCTTTTTGAGTAATATCAAATCAGGGTATCACAGTGTAGCGAAGGCTGGCCTTGAACTCTTTGGCTCTCCCAATATTACTCGCCAAGCCTCCAGAGTAACTGGGACTACACACAGGCACTACTGTGTCCAGCTCTACTCATATTTTTTAAACTCTGACATTGCCTGTCATAAAAAAGTAGAACAATTTGTATAACTAAGCTATCCCCCATTATTAGACATTTATATTTTAAATGATCCTACTTTTAATATTGTACAATACACATTTCTATGAATAAAGCTATCAACAATTTCATCTTTACCAAGTGAAATTTGACAATATTATCTTTGGAACAAGGAGGGAAATATCATATATTGTCTTCAAGAATCTACATATACACTCTTGCTTTATATTCACAAACACATATAGTTAGTGAATTCCTAATAGTTTAAGTGAATTTTAGACTCTGTCTGTTGTGTGTGCATGTGTGTGTGTGTGTGTATCAAGTAGCCAGTCATTTGCATGCAATCACAAACCAGATGCTTGAGAAAAAGTGATGCTCAGATTCAAATCTGATTCTAACTGTTTGACTTACAGAAATGTGGGATATTTATGCTCTGTCTCCTGACTATCAGGGCTTCTCTTCTGTAAAAGAGTCAAGTGCTGCAGATATGAATGGTCAATAGCTATTCTTTCTGATAGTAGGAAACAAAAATTTCCAAATGGCAATAGGGTGGCTTGGAAAAGCTAGTGTGTATCCAAGATGAAAATGGAGTAAAACACTTCATTTTCTTACCTTACAGGAAAGGCAAGCCCAGACTTCTTTTTAATTTCCCTGAGAACCTTTGGAGTTAGCGAGACATTTTGCCATTTTACATCTAAGGAAATGGAAGCACACACAAGGGGTCATATAACAAGCAATTGGCAAATTCGGGATTTGAATTCATCACTGTCAGATTTCAACATCCCTGTCATTTTCATCCCAGTGGGGTGACAAAGATAGTCAGTAACTGTCAGCTATTTTCTGTCCCTTGCTCTGAAAAGCATCTATGTCAAATTAATCTGATTTCATAATTATTCCTAAAAAAGGACACTGGCGGAAATGCATGAACTTGTAAATGAATGGAGAGATCACAGCAGGTTTTAAAAAAAACATTCAGCATGTCCAGAAAGGAGACGGGATGAATACAGAAAGGAAGCCAGATGAAAGCCCATGAGATGGGGGTGATCAGTTTGATTTGCCAAAACTTCCTTTTCTGATATCAGAATAAAAAACAAGCCTCCTCCCATCCAGGACCATTGACTTTATTGAAAAACTTCAGTGAATTTACAACATCACACAGATTATTTCATTATGCTTGTCTGAGATTTAGCAAGGATTAGACGTTGTCTCAAATTAACCAAATTAAAAGAAAAGAAATACCAAAGTGTATCATTAAAATTTTTAAACAATGGTAGAGAGTTTGTATTTGTTTATTTATTCATTTATTTTTATTTAGTGTGTATGTGTATTTTATTTAGTGTGTATATGGTTTGTGCAAGTGTGCATGAGTGTGTGTAGTGTATATGTATATAGTGTGTGTATCTGTATCTGAATGTGTCTTTGTGTATAGTATTTGCATATATATATGTGGTGTGTGTTTGTATGGTGTATGTCTATGTGTGTCTGTGGGTGTATATTTGTGTGTGTGGTATGTGTGGTGTGTGTATGGTGTGTGTGATTGTGTGTGGTGTGTTTGTGTATGTGTGTGGTGTGTGTATGCGTGTCTGAGTGTGTCTTTTGTGTGGTGTGTGCATATATGTATATGGTGTGTGTTTGTATGTTGTGTGTATATGAGTGTGTGTTTGTGTGTTTGTGTGTGTAGTATGTGTGAGTGTGTGGTGTGTGTGGTAGTGGCTGTATGTATGTTTGTGAGTGATGAATGTATATGGTGTGTGTGTGGTGTGTATATGTGTATGTGATGTGTATGTGTGGTGTGTGTATGTGTGTATGCTATGTGGTATATGGTGTGTATGTGTGTGTGTGTGTGGTATGTGGTGCGTATTGGTATGTGTGTGGTGTATGATGTATGTTGTCTGTGTGTGGTGTGTGTGTGTGTGTGTGTGTGTGTGTGTGTGTGTGTGTGTGTATTCTCATATATGTGTCATGGCCTGGATATGAGGGTCAGAGGATAACTTTTGGAAGTTGGTTCTGGTTTTCATGTTGAGGCAGGGTCTCTCTTGTTTCTGCCACTTTGCAGCTTACTCCAGGCCAGCTAGCACTAAAACTTCTGGACAACTCACCTGTCTCCCTTTCTGTCTTGGGATAGGAGGGCTGAGAATACAGATGGGAACCACCACATCCAGCTTTAAGGCTAAGTTGTGGTAATTGAACTCAGGTGACTAGGCTAGCAGGCCTAGTACCTTGAGCAGCTGAGCCATCTCCCTGGCACTTAGTTCTTATTTTATTAAAAAAATTTCAATATCCAATTACAGAAATTATATTGGACAGTTAATCATAGCAGCTACATTTCTGTTATATTTCTCTGTTTTAAAGGTGTGTCTCTTTGGGTAATATACTGGTAAACCTTGCTATTAAGTTCTCTCAGCCCCTAAAGATTATGGTACATTAATATCAGCCAGTCTTTCTGCTAAAGATAGAATAACATGTTATTGATACTTGCTTGACTCCTTAAAGGATTATAGTTGTAATAGCACTCTTTGATTATAGTATAGAATTTCAATCAAATCAAGATTGAAGGAAAGATCAGTCACTGAGACAATATTCACCAATTTAGCTTTCCCTAAAAAATATGTCATGTATCATAAAGGACCTAGGTTTTGAAACTTACAGGATATCTTTGGAATGTGTTCTTTAGTGCAGCATGACCTCTGTTGGTCCATACTCTCATCCTTAGTGCAGACTGGCTAGCCCTCATCATCATGAAGGATGGTCTATAAATAAAGAGACAGATGCAGGTGACTCTGGCAATCAAGATTTCTTTGGAGCCTAAAGGTTAAGTGGTGAAGTCTGAGTTCAACAGGAGTGGGCGTGGACAGGAATGAGGCATAACACTCTTGTCATATTAAACCTATAGTGGCAAACGCCCTGGTGGCCCGGAAGCACCAGGACAGCAGTGCAGTGCCCACTGATGGAAGATGTGGGAGGGACCATGGCTGAGCTCTCACTGGGCCCTGGGAAAAAAACGTGAGTCAGGGATTAATTGTTCATTAGCAACTGGAGTTTTAGAGTTAATGAAATGGAGCAGTGTTAATGAGATATAATTTGTACCCACTCTCCAGTCAGGCCTGGCCTATGAACTTCACCAACATATTGTGCTTTCATCATCTTTAAGCCAGTGAGTTTCTGAAGGCTTTTCTTTTGCTTGCTACACGCAAAATATTTCATGCAAAGGAAAATTTCCCCAAAGAAGAAACACATACCTGCCTCTAGACACTTCCATTACCATCTCTGCGGAAAGTCACTTTGTAGAAAAACCCTGAAACAAATGTATCTCATTGCAATGTACTATTTAGTCTGCTAGCCTCATTAGAATCACACAAGGGAGACAGAGAGGAAGCTCAAGAAAGGAAAAGAGTATCAACAGCTAATTAGTCACCTCCAGTGTACCAAGTCCCATGCCAGTGTTATTTGACCTAACTCCCACTCCTAGGACTAAATGGCCGCCCCTGTTTGACATATGAGGAAGCTGAGTCAGAAGAGACTCCCAGCCCTCCTGCCTAAGTCACTTCTGAAAGGCCCTGTGACATCCACAGTTGACCTTGTGTTCTTCCCTTTATTTATTGAAGTCCTTAGAACAATGTCCTAATTCTAAACTAACTCTATCTCTCCTCTTTCCCTTCTGTGGTGACCTTTACCCCACCCCAACCACCCCATAGCTGGAAGTTTCTCCATCCGCCCGGCCCCGTGGTCCTGAAGCCACTTATAAAGTGATCATTCAGAGGCTTATATTAATGACAAACTGTATGGCCTATGGCTTCAGCTTCTTGCTAGCTAGCTCTTTCATCTTAAATTAACCCATTTCTATAAATCTGTGTTGCCACATGGCTGTAGCATTACTGGTTTGCTGACATCTTATGGTTCCTTCAATGCCGAGCTCAAGTCTCCCTTGACTCCACCCTTCTTTGTCTCATCTTCAGTTTGAATGTACCGCCTAACCTCATCCTGCCCTGTCATAGGCCAATGCAGCTTTATTTATCATCCAGTGGGAACCACACGTATTCACAGCATACAGAAAGACATCCCCCAGCACCCCCCACCACCAGCACCACACCTCTTCCCATCTGACTGCACGGGCATTACACTGATAACCTGAAAGCAAACCGACTGCCTGCCCACTACAACAGTATAATAAATATATAATATAATAATATTATATATTATATATATTATATAATTTATATATATTATATATAAATTATATAATATAACAAATAACTGAAATATGTTCTTGCAATAAAAAAAAAGTTGATCCTGTCCAACTAAAGAAGAAAATTTAAAAAAAAAAAAAATTCTCTTTTAAATGTACATGGTATCCATACTAAAGAGCCAGAACAGTGGAACAGGCATGGCCAAAAGAGGAGCCAGGTGGACAGTAGACACAAACAAATGAGACATCTTGTCAAGGCTCTGCCAGGGTAAGGCAGGTACACAAGGCTCCCAAGGTATCATCACTCTACTCAATTTAGAGTCAGGAAAAGAGGAAGTCCATCCTGGATCATATATCCTGTCCACATCTCAGCAGGGACAAAGAGGTTCCTTAACTCAGTGCATCCAAAGCTGCCTGCAGCAGGGGAGACACTCCCCACCGGAAAATCAAGAGTGCTGGGCTGGCGAAATAACAGATCCCCACTACAATAACGAAAGGTCTCCTGTGCCCTCACAAATGTCCTCCCTTGTCACATTACAATGAGTGGTTTCTGCTTACTCACACATTCCTCACACAGAGCCCTCTGAAGCTGAGGCTGAGCCCAGGAACTCTGTCTCCCACACTATCACCACGCGCCAGAGCTGCTCCCGGCTTTGATTCATTACACACATCACTTCTATCTTACCCACCAGAACATGATATATATGGTAATTTATTTCACTGTTTTGTACTGGCTGCCGCCCCCTCACGTCCTATATCATTTAGGCTGAGTTCTGCATCAGCAGCAATGAACATTAGGACCCACCCCTCCATCAGAGGGAGAAAGGAATTCTACCCTTCCTCTTTGCCTCCTTAGACACAGATTCAGCCCCAGTCCAGCAAAGATATTACAGGCTAGCCACAAACCCTCTGCCAACATCTGTATTTTTAGAATGCTGGGTTTTAATGTTGAGAGAGAGAGAGAGAGAGAGAGAGAGAGAGAGAGAGAGAGAGATTACATAAATGAAACAGGAGAAGCACACAAAAGCACTTGTACAGATGCTGTGTTCCTGAAATGAAGTGCCAGAGACTGACTGCCCAGGGATAATGGTTTAGAAATTTCCTGAACAATGAGGCAGAATCTGTGATTCTGAAATAGAGATAATTTGTTTGAATCATCCACTTCATTAAGATAGCCAAACAGGACTTCAGTGTATTAATATGGCATTCAAAATAAAAACATAGGCCAGTGTTGTCCTTCTAATTTAACACAACTTTGTATAGGAGGAAAGAGGAAAGGAGGATTTGCCAGCAAAAGCAATGAAATACAGAATCTGCTTTTATCTGGTGGCTTCTGAAGCCAAGTATAACATGCTATTAGTGGCCAGAAGCCTGGCTTCAGACAGAGATTTCCAGGGAATCAAGGAGGTGGGGCAAATACGCCTTCCCTGTACTTCATTGGCAAATTTACTAGAAAAGCCTGAAGTACCGACAGGCTAGGAAGGGAGTGGGTCACAGGCCGACCAACCCACTTCCAGTATCTTTTCCAAGGTGTCCTTCCCCCACGTTTCACAGTGACCCAAAATGCTCAAAGGGACTATAAATGGAATTGAAAACATTTAGTACCTCTGTAAACTCGAAGAGCTGTTGGGGATCTAGAAATCAGGATCCTTCCATGCAGGCACTAAGACAGACCACTAGTAGGGGCTCTGAAGCCAAGGGGCTGGCTGCTTTCTCTATGTCCTTATTGCCTGGTTTTGCTTTGTCTTTCCTGTAATAGGTGACACTCTTTTGGGCAAGGCAGAGGCAGGTAGAGAATGTCTCTATCCTTATTTTTGGTGAAAACTATAAATAAATTCATTTTTCCAATTCTCGGTATATTCTGTCATTTTTCTCTTAAAGCAGGAGAGCATTCAACCCCAGAGCCAGGGCACATGGCTGGGTGAGGTCTGGTAACATTGATGATTATTTTTTATTTCTATCCACGTTTGTTTTGGAGGAAAACAGAGAATGTGATCTTTGAACAAGACGTTTCAGAATGCAGATTATTGACAGTAAATGTGGAGGTTTGTATCCTTGGGACCTTAAAGCTCTCTATCTCCTTAAAGTTGAATATCTACAGCAGTAAAGAAGGCCATATTTGAGCTGAAATCAGTGCGGGTAGGGTGAAGACAAGACTTATTTATTCCAGGTGTGAAATAGGCAATTAAGTCTACCTTACCAGGGCTTTCCGGTTTCGTAGCAAGTACTTAGAAACTGCTTTTGCTAAAGAGCACTGATTCCTCCCTTGGGCCCAGAAGGCCACTAAAAGCAGGATGAAATCCTGGCATTCCTGCCTTAATTTTCTGTCTCCTTTGCCTTAAAACTGTGAGTCAGACTCCTGCTTAACTCTGAATATAGGTGTGTTAGTCACCTAAGATTCACCTATCTAAAACACCCTGATTCATAAACTCTCTCTGCCCTTAGTGACTCTCATCTCATACTTGGTACGTCAGGATGGATGACTGAGCTTCTTCTGTTAGGACCACAGGAGCTGAAGCTTCTGTCACAAAACTCAGGATCAATGGTCATAGTGGTTGCATGTGTCAAAGAGTGTATATGACTTTTTGTTAGAGTGACCTACGCATGATCAACCAGTCATGATGAAATGTTTCCCAAAATGTTTTCATGCTTTCATTTGACTGTATGAGTCTCCAGTTCAAAAGTAGAAAACTGCTCCTGTTAACTGTCAGAGCAAAGCTAGATCCTTTGGACTGGGCCCTAAGACTGCTTCTATGAAACAATCCCAATTGCTGCCTGACCTTGTCTCTCCCAACCCACAGAACTACCTGATTTAGTCAGGCTGATATTTATTCTATGCCCCACATGTGCTTAGAAGTCATGCCTTCTCTGATGACACTTGCCATGTTGGGAATAGCCTCCTTAATTCAAGTGCTTCGCTGTCATTAAGTTTTAGTTCAAGATTCACAAATTAATTTCTGCCTTAATTTCCCCATGTGTACTGAATTTTAAACTCTTACCATATTTATCATCCTATCCACAAAGCTACCGTGTATGTGCAAAAGCTCTCTGGGGCTGTATGGCTCTTATCTCCACAAATGTTGTGGAGCACCTTAAGGAAAACAATCCATTTATCCACTTCCGGTGGCTTTAGAAGCACTGAACTCTGGGCCAACTGCAGTACACAGTGCTAAGTCTTGAACAGATATGTAGTCTTCTTTAATTAGAAACAGAAGAGGTCACTTTAAAACCTAACATAGTTAAACCATGAGTCAGATAGCAGAGAGAGTGGGATAAGGCAAATCAAACTGGGCAGCCTGCTCCAACCTCAGGGCACTCTGAACCCACAGGCACATAACAATCCATATGTCCAAAGTGAACTCACATTTTCACCCTGAGGCAATGTGAGTGATCTAGGTGTCTTTCTTTGACTCTATGTTCATAAAAGCTCTTGTATCTTTCTGGAAAATGGGAAGTTTCAGAGATCCGTTTAGCCAGATGAACCAGGAGTGTCCTAGAGAGCTGGAGCAGCAGCAACAGCAATGTGCGCAGCGAGGAAACAAGATCACATGGCTTTCA